AAACGTTGCACTGTTCTAAACCCAGCAACCCTTGTGCCCATAGAAGAGGAAGGGGAACCCCATGATTGCCTTAAAGTCATTACATTAGAGACAAAACCTCGCTCAGATTTGAAGGAGAGTCCCTTGCAAAATGCAGACTTTGAATCGTTTGTAGACGGATCAGCTTGTAGGAATGAGTTCGGTCAGCCCTGTGCAGGGTATGCCATTGTATCAGCTACCACCATTATTGAAAGCGACTCGTTACCCTCCACCACATCTGCGCAGGCTGCAGAGCTAACTGCTCTGAAGCGAGCATATGAATTGGCTGAAGGGCAAACGCTCAATGTGTTCACTGACTCCCGCTATGCATTCGGAGTATGTCATGATTTCGGTCAAGTGTGGAAAAAACGGGGGTTTCTTTCTTCAAGTGGGTCCCCCATTAAACACAAAGACCTTATAGTAGGTCTTCTCACCGCATTACTACGGCCAAAAGCCATTGCGGTCATAAAATGCACGACCCATACTAACCAAACTGACCCAGTCTCTAAGGGAAATGCTCACGCAGATGCTGCTGCTAAAATGCTGCTTTAAGTAAGCCTGTAAAGCTACTAACATTACAACCGACTATCAATCACCCCGCTGTCACTGATACAATGCGTGGTGAGATATTTCGGATCCAATATGAGGCCCCTCTGGAGGAGAAGCAACAGTGTTTCATTAACATTGTTTCATTAACGACCTAGGGATTTGGGTCTCGAATGAATTAAAGGTAGTCCTGCCCCGACAAATGTTCCCATGGATGGCACATGTGTTACATAATTTTACCCATGAAGGGACCCAGTCCATGTATAATTGGATAACGAAGTCGTGGTTTGCCCCAGGATTAACCCCTTTTCTCCAGCAGGTTGTGAAATGTTGTGTAATATGTCAAAGGTTTAACCCAGGCAAGGTTGACGATGTGACTCCGGCGTCCCATCCTCCCCCTCAGGGTCCCTTTGCGCACCTTCAAATGGATTTTATTCAGTTACCAAAAGCCGAAGGATATCAATATGTGTTGGTTATTGTAGATATGTTTTCTAAATGGATTGAAGCTTTTCCTTGTAGGAGGAATGATGCCACGACAACGGCCAAAATATTGTTAAGAGACATCCTTCCTCGGTTCGGCATACCATCTCGCCTTTCCTCCGATAATGGTCCTCACTTTATTGCCACGGTAATAAAGAACATTTGCAAAATGTTGCAAATAAAACAGCATCTCCATTGTGCATATCATCCCCAATCTGCAGGGGCTTTTGAAAGGGCTAATGAGACGCTAAAGTTGAAATTGTCCAAACTGTCTGAACAGACAAAATTAAATTGGGTAACAGTCTTGCCATTAGCCTTGATGCAAATGAGGAACCATACGAATGCAAAAAGCAAGCTGTCTCCTCACGAGATCATTTTCGGAAGAAGCATGCCCATGGTTTTCTCCGCACACATTGAACCGTTGCCTGATGTGCATGCCCTCGAAGAAGGGATGATGCAATACTGCATTGCGTTGACTAACACCCTATCTAGCTTTAATTCGCAGGTTCGAGCGCTCCAACATCCACCGGCATCTGATCAATGCCACAAGTTTCAGCCAGGAGATTCCGTTTACATCAAGACCTTCAAACGAAAGAACGGACTGAGCCCGCGCTGGGAAGGACCGTTCCAAGTTCTATTGGTGACCCACACTGCTGTGAAGGTTCGAGAAAGGTCTACGTGGATTCATGCTAGTCACTGCAAGCAAGCCCCAGCGGACTCCGGCTATTGCGAAAAAGCCTAACGTTGTTACTTTTTCATTTTTTTTGACGGACTTTGCTTCATTATGGGGTTGTTGTTTTGTATGTTTTTATTGTTTTTGCTATGTTGCCATACTTACTCTCTTGTCCCAGGGGGAGGTACTTACCGACTTTTGATCTCCTTAAACCGTGACCTCACCGTATCTGATGATCAGTCGGAAGCCTGTTCTTCCGCCATTTGTTACACTGATATGGCCCTTGAGAAACGATCCTCCATGTTTAATGCTCATTTTTTGTTGCGGAATGCTCAGGATAGATCATTCGCGGACGATTTGAGCTGTCCTGAGGATTCCGGTCAATGTCAATCCGTCCATAACAATTCCATGATTATGTGTTATTGTTCCATTTATTATCACTGTTCTTTTACCGAGTCTTGCTTGTATTCTACTGAACGCGCCCGGTTTTCCAACGAAACCCAGCTCGTGTTTTTGCGCCCTGGTACCTATGGGACTAGAATTTATACAGGGATGTCTCAGGACTGGCACAAGGGTTTAGTTGAGCCCCACTTGCCTTCCACGTCACTGGTCTCACTTCCTCGTGACGTTCCATTTGTTGACATGTATCCTTTTAAAACTGCGCACCAACATTTGTTTGGTGACTTTTTACCAGCAGATTCTCCCCAGCCTTTCCAATTGCGAAATGTTTATATTCAAATGCTCCAGACTGTGAGCTTGCACAGAAATACATCCCAGCATCATGTATGTGGATTGTCCCCGCCGTCAGTCCAGATGGGGTACCCTATGATGGCTTTCCCATTATCTACCTGTGAGCTTTATTCCCTTTTCCATTTGCAAGTTATGCAAACCCCACCTTGTTCCCTGTTGCACCAAGAATTACACGAATTGCAGTGTACTTGCCAATCCTGGAAGCCACGAATGTGTAATCGTGACTGCGGCAAGCTTGGCACTGCCACTACGGTTTATGCGGGTTTTTCGTTTTGCGTTGAGTCCTTGTCCGGGACTGAACCACTGGGGTTTCTGGATTCCCACCTTTGCAACACCACATATCCTTATGCTGCGGTGGCTGTTTTCATAAGGATTTTTATTGGGTTTGCAATTCTACTGTCTATGCTTACTTACCGGCAAATTTCAAAGGGAAATGCGCTCTCTTTCATTATTTTCCTATGATTGGTCTAACCAATACCCTGCCTTCTGCCCGGGCCCCACTAGTCCTGAATACCTCCAGCCTACTCCCTCCCCGCCAGGTTCATCGCTCTCGCAGAGCCGACCCTTTTCACACCCATTCCCAGAGGAATCGCATGCTCGGGGCTCTTCTCCCTAATTATGGAGTAATGTGCGCCCTTGACCAGATTGCCATTCTCTCTCAGATGGTCTCCTCATTGGCCTCTAAAACATCTGCAGCATTGGCTCTCATTAACAAAGAGATGTCTGAGATTCGTCTATATGCTATGCAGAACCGTATGGCCCGTGATTATGTTTTGGCCGCGACGGGCAGTGGGCAATGCGGTCCAGGTTCTATTGGAAATAGGCCTAATCCTTGTTTTTATTGTTCTCATCACTAAGTGTGCCCTCATTTGTTGCACACAGTGTTGCAAAAAGACTACACGCACCATGATGACCATGAACATGGTCCACGTCAACTAACACCTTAGCCCATTTTCCCCACGTAATGAATGTGACCTCGAGATGCCATATGCCTTTTCGGATTCCCTCTCGGAAGCAGAACACTCGAGGGCTAGAAAGCACGGAAGGTTTATCCCAGGGATAAAAGGGAGGAGTGTGGAAGGTGAATTCAGCACATTCTGCAAAGTTAGCAAATTAAGCAGGACGTGATGTTTTAAGACTAAAAGGGCAAAAGGCCAGGGGGGCCCCTGGCCTTAAGTGAAATATATGTTGTCATAAAGTCAGTCACGGATGATCGAGATTGGCATTTTCTAAGATAGATAGGCGGATGTCTGGTATCGGTACCTCATCCTGAAGTCATGTCTGGAATCAGTTCTGGGGTCAGATAATGTTCAGCAGCATTTGTTATTGTCTAACTGTCGCTTTTCCTATATGTTCCTAGTCATAAAAGACAAAGTGATTGTCTTCTAAAAACAGACACCCGGTCACGAGGCAGACCATGTCGCTAGTAACCAATTTAGAGGGTCCCCTCGTGATTATTGATTGACGCATAGTTCAATAAGATTCTGTATAAAGGTGAAGTGCTTGCTCCCATTTGGTGTGTAGTGTTGGGAGCAGCACACGAGCAGTTGTTGCCACAATACTACACCCCACATGTGTGAAAATAAAGCTTGTTAATTGAACGCCGCACTGACTCCGTTGTTGTGCTTCAGGTCATCAAGAGCAATCGCATATCGTAATTGGGTTCGACAATGCTACATTGTTGGATGGATGTATCGTCCTTCAAAGCAGTGTTAAAATGGAGATCCTGTCTACCTGTTCAGCTGGACATTAAAGATCTCACTGTTCAAAATGATAAGGGAGTGTCTATCGATCTCCAAATAAAGTTTGTCAGTAAGATTCTAATGCAGGTCAAACTTGTGGCATACAAATTCCGTGTGCAAACAGTTCTCCTTCATGGATCTGACCTCCTGGGGATGCAGAGGAGGGGTTTCCTCCAGGTCATTTGCAAGGTGCAGGATCAGGCACTGAGTTGATTTGTGGCGATCAAGGGAAATGGCTGCATGGAGGAAAGGCTCCAGCCTACACTGACAACATGCTGATCTCCCTAGAGATGGGGTCAGGTTCACAGCATCCATTTGTCTAAGACCATCACATGAGGTCCTGGATTAAACAGCTGTTGCTGAGTAAGCATTGGACTCGCCAAAGTGGCTGTCAAAGCACAAGCTGAACTGTAAAGCTCCTCCCACCATATTGAAGGATGAAGTCTGCCAGATTAGCTGATGAGCTTACTCTAAGGCTTGGAGCAAGTGCTGCTGGAAGGGATACTTGGTGTCTGAATTCATGAACACATGTATAGCAAATGTAAAGTCATCATTAAGTATGTCTTTTAAATATTGTTTTAAAAAACAAAGTTTATCCTGTTAAGTGTTTTGAGACTTCTCGATGATGTAATATGACATTATCAAATGCAAGGGTTGTTATTATTATTATGTACGAGGTAAACAGATTGGCGGATAAACAAACTACTGAGACTACGATGGCAGAAGGTGATCCAATGTCAGGTATTGGTGTCAGGCAGCCTGGCCATGGTGTAGAATCATTGTTATGTTACCTGTCATGTTGCAGTAGACTTTGAATGGTGCGAGTGGGCCACTGCCATCAGGATCTATCCAGTAAGTGTCCGAGGTTCTGCCAAGATGTTTGTATGCCTCACAAGACTGTTCGTATATAGCTGGAACAAAACACAATTATGATAAACTGAAACCCTTCTGTGATTTAAAATAACTGATCCTAAACACCGCAAGCTGCCAAATTGAGATAAAATAAAACAAAAGAAGTAAGCCAATGACCTTGATATAACAGGAAAGATTCATTGAAACATTTGGTAATTAACAGCTGAGACAATTTCCCATTTAAATTATATCCAAAAGACTGGGACGTCTTTCAGATGCTAATTTGTAATTTTAGAAATTAAAAACGTGTACCTGACTTTATTAATAATATTGAGGTGAAATACTGTAGTCCTTAAGGAGAAGAATGTCAATTATGGACAATGAAATAGTTCCACTTTTACCAGTTCCAGCACCACACACTTCCAAGGTCGTTCGACAGTTCTATCAGTGCAAGACGAATGACAATAGAATATTTAAATCGAGTTGACCCTCTGTGGTGGTCTTGGTAGTTCAGTTCCTGAGCTAGGCCTGTAAACAGTACTCCCAAGACACTTTGATGATATCACTGTTGAAATCAGCCAACCTGGCACATTGATAAGGTTTAAAATACGCCGGGGAGCGGACAAGGATTAGTCCCACTCAGCTATTTTAGCCCTGCAAACCAAAGTCCTAAAGGGGGTTCCTAGATAGCAAGAGGAAGCTTATAAAACAATGCTCACAATGACAATCCTTTATTTGGCTAAACTACAGCAGTATCCCTAATGCACAGTTTCAAGTCCCCAAGCCTTGTTTTTTTGGCCAGTATGCACGTAATACTTCCCGTTATTAGGTAAGAAGTATGTGTCCCTCCAGGGAAGAGAGTGTGTATTCTATTGATAACAATAATACTTATCACATTGTTGAAACATCTGCCAGTACTTCACAGAATTTTTACTGTGAAGAAACTGTGTATTTGTAGGCAAGCACAGCAGGGCACAAACACCTTTAGATTTTATCAATTTGCAATTAATGTAACTTAAAAACACTGGGACCTTAGGAGAGCAAGGCTCAAGGGAGAGAGATATGGTTTCTTAAGGAGGTGATGGTGCCCCATCAGTCTCTCTTGCTGAGCTGGACTGCAAAGGGTGTGGTCCTTGGCCAAGTGCCAGAGGGACCTGAGGTCTAATAATAATAGTCCTTGCATTTGATATAGTGCTTTTCATGTCTTCTGAACGTCTCAAAGCGCTTCATGACCCAACTGGGTCATGACCCAACTGTGCAGCACCTTGGGACGTCCTCCTGACGTGAAAGGCGCTTTATAAATGGAATCTTGTTGTTGTTGTTGTTCACAGAATAGACTGTAAAGTGAACTGACTGTATATTTGTGGGCGAAATGCGGCAGCCAATTGCACACAGCAGTGTCCCACAAACAGTTATGGATTGAAAATGACCAATTTATTATTGTTTTTTTTCTTGAGGGATTATTATCAGGAGGAATCAGGAGTTGGCGTGTGGAGTAAAGAAACTTGCCCAAGGTTTCACCCTGCCGAGAATCGAACCCAGGTCTGTCGCTTGCAAAGCGAGTGCTCTAACTACTGAGCTACAGGTCTAGCCACATAGCTGACCCTAGGTTGGCTAATGTTTAGAGCAGAGGGACATCATGAAGTTGCAGGAATGTAGGAGGGGTTGTAGGCACCAACTGCAAGCGCAAGTGCCTGCACGCCTCCATGGTTGCATTGTTTGTGTTGTTCTTTCGATTTTCCCCTCGGAGATATTAAACCAATGTTGTTATAACCAAGAGTCTCTGTACGTATCTGGAAGTGCCTGGCTCAGGGAAGGAGGAGGTGTTTCAAGTTACATTACTTTCATGCAATCTACTGGTGTTAAAATAAGTTTGTCATTCTCCAAGGTTTCAGTGTAAAATGACAAGTCAAAAGACAGTGATACGGAGATGTTTGTTTAAATATTAAGAGTTCAATTACAAAATGTTACAACTTGATTTGAAGTTCACTTTTGACTATTAGTAAACTTAGCATCACTTCGCTTTCTTTTTCTAGGCAACCAAATTCCAGCTCTGGCAACACCCCTTGGCCAGACAAGCTTAGAAACGCACAGAACAGTAAGTGCGTTGAGTCTCACATTCGTGAGCCACGAATGACCCCCGGGTCAGATTATGATTACCACTGATGTAGAATAATGTAGTTTGCAATGGGTTTCAAGGAGGCAGCACATCTTTTTGACTTTGATAAACTGCCTGAGTTTCACTTCCTTGACTTATGGCAGCATTTGTGCTCCAAGATGTGTTATTGCCTTGTTACAAAATTCAACCTATCTGTTATCTGATATTTGTGGTGAGCATATATATATTGAGAATCAAAGCCCAAGTGTCACAATTCCAAGATTGCTTTACTGAATATCACAATGGATGAAACTAAACCCAGGAACATTGGGCTTTGAAAATAGAAACGATATTCAAAATGTGATAATAATAAATAATAATCCTTGTATTTGTTATAATGCATTTCAAATCAGGACAAAGTGCTACACTGGATTTTATTGTTTGACCCTCAACTGTCTTTTCTACCCCATATCCGTGCCATGACCCGCTCTGGCTTCCCCCACCTCCACAACATTGCCTGGCTCCGTCACCGCCTCACCCCTCAGGCCAAAATCCTCATCCACTTTTAATTTTTTTTCATGACATCTAGGCTCGATTACGCCAACTCCTTCCTTGTCGGCCTTCCCAACTCTTCCCTCTACAAGCTGCAGATCACCCAGAACTCTGCAGCTTGTGTCCTCTCCTGCACCAGACTCCGTGACCCCATCACCCCCACTCTCACTCGGCTCCACTGGCTCCCCATCCCCTAGAGGATACAGTTCAAAATCCTCAACAACACAGGTTCGCTCATAGCATAATTGGGGTGTAGATTGATAATTGTGCCTCATTATAGCACTGGCTGAGATTTTATGATCCCCCACTACCACCACTGACTACCACCTTATAACACGGCTCTTTACATTTAGCAGTATGCTGCAGAATGAGGAAGGCACAATGTAGAGGATGTATTAAAGATTAAATAAAGGGAGCCTGCATCTTTCGAATTCCCACAATATCTTCACAAAACTCTAAAATAGCTGTGTAACTGCTGTGGAGCCACTGGCAAAGTTGCCAGAGATGTAAAGAGGGAATCCAACAAATTCCTGAGAATTCCAGGGTCTGAGCTGAGTTTTCTGTTAGTGATTTTAGTTTCCATCTGCCTGGTGATACAGTTTGTTGTAAAGGGACATTCCATTCCTGCTGTTGCTCTTTCAAAGATATGTTGAGTCTTTCTCCAAGTTAATGTGGCTTTTGATTCCTTCCTGATCCAAATGTCCACCAAGTTTTCAAATGAATTGGCTGTTAATCTCATTATTATTCATGGGACATTCGGGGGCAGATTAGCAGCCAATCTATTACTTTATGTNAAAAAAAGGTTTGAGGATTGTTTTTAAATGAAAGGTGCTATATAACTGAAAGTTATTATTATGTCCCTAGAGAAAATGCTCTTTACATGGGGGGAAAGTTCTTGCCAACTGCTCCATAGAGGTGATGCCACTAATGCACTTTCTAAAGACGCTATATGTAAAGAACAGCTTTCCTAAACGTCCCTTAATCCATAAGAGATAGTTAGCATTTAGTTGCAGTGGGTGCGGGTAACAGACTGCTGAAGCTAGGTATTTGAAACACTGCGTCTCATGACCTAAATGTGGGAATGATACTTTCATTGTGCAGGCCAGCCAATTATGCTAGAATTTACCATTATTTTATATTTTATTTGGAGTCCTGTAGCTCAGTGGTTAGAGCACTCGCTTTGCAAGTGAGAGACCTGAGTTCAATTCCAGGCAGGGCGAAACCTTGGGCAAGTTTCCTTACTCCACACGCCTAATAATAATCGCTCCAAAAACCAAAAAACAATAATAAATTGGTCATTTTCAATCTACGACTGTTTGTGGGACATTGCTGTGCGCAATTGGCTGCCGCGTTCGCCCACAAATATACAGTCAATTCACTTTACAGTGTGTTCTGTGAAGCGCTTTGGGACGTCCTCCCGACGTGAAAAGCGCTATATCAAATGCAAGGATTATTATTATTATATAACAAATCAAAGTTTAAGAAACTCTGTAACTTGGTAAGGAATACACTTGGGTGTGGGCACTGCACAGTCTTATCCCAGACAGTTCCTATATTGCCAGCAATTACTGTAAAGCACTTGGAGATGTTTCAAAGTAGGAATGTCCTATAAAAAAAAATCTTCTCAGACTTCTATGATGTATAGATCACACAATTGTGACACTGTCAAATGTCAGTAAATGCCAGCTTCAATGTATTCCACAGGGTGCAACTCAACTGACAATTTAGCTCCATATTATAGGTTATTTTTTTCCAACAATACAAGAAACTGACACAATCCGAATTTCCCAAATATCACGTTGATATTATGTTAGACAGGTTGCTTTGTGTTGCAATATCTGTGGAATTTCATCCTACTTGTATTTATTCTCCTGCAACCACTGACACCCTCATGGAACCCATAACGAGACAAGAGCCTATTCTGTGAAGCGCTTTGAGATGTCGAGAAGACGTGAAAAAGTGATATATCAAATGCAAGGATTATTATTTTTATTATTAAGAGTCGTACCAATGGAACCACATCCATTGTAATACGGTATTCCATCATACTCACTTTGGAAGAACCCTAATAAACCTACAAGAATCTTCGGATTTGATATTACACTGAGGACCTATCTTCTTGGTCTTCAGATTGTCACTAATGATTCCATATGTTTCAGCTGGAATTCCCTGTTGGAACCCTGTCTTGTGCGACTACAAATACATCATCACTACACTTTATACGAAATCCTGTGAAATGTTTTGTGATGTCAACAACGTGTTGAATAATAAATATTACATTTCATATAGCTCTTCATATAGGACCCAGAGCGTAAAGTGCAATGACTGTATCAAATGCAAGGATTGTTTATTATTGTTATACTTCATCAATATTGCAACTGGGGATCACCAGAGCAGGGCTGACACTGT